AGTGCAAGCCAGAGTTAGATTTTGGCCTGCATTATAATTCACTAATTACATATATGTACTGATATTTCAATGTACTGATACTTTTTTTCCAAACCGAAAGCATCAGTATATTGAAGTTTGACTGTATCATCAATTTCATCCAAATCATTCAAATCATTAGTATTTTCTTCAGATTGTTTTTTAAAAATTTCTATAAATTCTGTAATATTCTCAGGAACTTTATATACAATATTTTCTTCAGGAATATTTAAGAATTCTTTCGCTCCCTTTGAATTAGGAAGATTTATAATTTCAAGCATCCTGGAGATTTTATTAAGTACAAGGTCATCAGCTTCAGTATCATCAGTTTCAATATGATTTCAGCTCCAATATTATCAGCTTTGATATCATCTAAACAATTAGTATTAGAAAGAATCTTAGTGTGATTCTAATAATTACTGATCGTTTCTGTTGTAACTTCATTTCAGCCCTAGATGATATACTGAATTTGTATGTATTGATCAGCTTCAATCTATTCTAATATCCAACTAAAATAAAAGAAATAATTTAAAAAATAATTAATAAAAAAAAAAATCAATAATATTATTAACAATCATTATATGATAATATTAATGATAATATTTTTTGAAGACATAATTATCCTAGAATCTATTGGCTGGATCTTTGAAGTTGTGTTTAGTGGTAGAAAGTGAACATCAACATTTAAAAGATTCAAACCCTCTATCTTGTGGCTTGAACAGTTATCAAGCAATAGTAGAACATATTGACCTTTATGCTTTTAGCCAACCTATCGATCAAAATCACGAAGCCAATCTTGAAAGAGAATTATAAGCATCCATGACTTATTATTATTTCAGTATGTCATTGACAGGTTGCGAATATTAATGTTTTTAAAACACCGTGGATTTGCATATTTTCCAATTATTAGGGGAGGTAATTTATGTAATCCATCAGCATTTGCACATAAAGCTATAGATAGATGTTCCTTATTTTTTTACGTTCAGAAATGCATCTTGTGGCTAATGTTCGATCTGATTCTAATCTGCAAGAGTATTTTTCAGTAAAGATATTAATAAATTATAATAATAATTTGATAATATACCGATAGAAATGCCCTGTCTCATCCATATTATAAATCCTTTCAGGTGAATAATTAGCACATTTTTCACGCAATATTAGTAAAGCTTCAAGAATTGCAGTTTAATCAGTAGATGCCGCTTCTCATTGAAACTTTTGCTGATGAATTCCATTACGCTTCTTAAATCTTTGAAGCTAACCATTAGAAAATTGCAATTTATTTTCAGAAATTTCCAACCTTCTGCTATTAGTTTAGCTTTTTCAATTAAAATTGCATCACTTAAAATTGCCTGATGCTGATAATTCATCACAAACTCCTTTAGAGTAACCTCAAGTTCTAGATAGGTGACAGGTTTATGTTGCTTTTGATTTGGTTGAATAATTTCGGTTGAAAGTCATTTTTCTCTTATTTGTTAAATTCGTATTATTGTAGTTTTGTCAACTTCAACTCCCCATTTTTGTTTAATCCAATTTATATAGTGAGCTCAGTTCTCTTTATTACTATTAGCATAAAAACAGAGTTTATACTTTTGGTTATCAGTTAGAGTAATTTTTTTTAGGTGGTATATTTTAAGCAACGTGAGAAAAACTGCAGCACTATCGCAGTCACAGCGCATTATAGTATTTATATATAATATTACTTGGGAGTAGAGATAAGTACAATAACTTTATTTAGATAAATTACTTAATAATTAATTCTTTTATGGATTTCGTACACTATAATTAGCCTTAAAAGGATTTACACAACCTACATTTTATTTATTTATGTAATTTCATTAGTTCCAGTCAAAATTATAATTGCACAAAGTCATATAAGTGCATTTAAGTGGAAATTTCTATATAATCAGGATCAGAAAATTATTGTACAATGTATAGAAAAGAGGGTGCATTTAGCACTAATTCTTCAACTTAGGACCAAGCTGAGTAGTGCATTTAAACAGGATGTACACTTATATAGGGTGCATTTATAGAAAGTTGACTATATACTGATCGTTAATCACAAAAAAATTTTAAAATAATTAATTAATAATCCATTTGTTTTTATTATGCTTTGCCTATTTTAAAATATGATCAAAAAATTTTACTTTTCTGTAGTTCAGAAAAATCAAGTCACTGATCAAGTTACATGATCCTGTTAGTAAAACTCTGAACAGGTCAGTTCAGTGTGGTTTTTTCCAGTTCAGGTAAGAACTGAAACTGAATGAAAACCAAACTGAACTGAATGGTTCTAGTTCCAAAATCAAACTGAGAACCAAACTGAATTTTTGGTCAGTTTCAGATCAATTCCCAGTTCAAACTGGAACCGTTCAGAGCTCTAAATCGAACTAAACCAAATGATTTCGATTCCAAAACTAAATTGAGAACTGAACTAAATTTTTGGTCAGTTTCAGATCAATTTCCAGTTCAAACTAGAATTATTCAGAGCTCTACCTGTTAGTCAATAATTATCTACTTGAAATACAATTAAAAATCTGAACAATCAAAATTGAACTGGCCTACTGTCCCTACCAATATCATAAAAGTCATATTTCCACAGCTTTATATTGTAACTATTATTATAATTATTGACTAATTTTTTTTATTGATCTTTTGCCAGTAAATATCACTTAATGAAAGCTAACCAGTGTATATAGTTAGCCACTTGAAAAGAACTGAGGGTACACTTCAATTATTTCATTTTCTATATAAATTTTTTTTATATTGAAATAAAATTACTGATCCAAAAATTTTAAACTGATTAGCTTGAGGTTGAACAATAATTTGCTAGTTTAAATTTCTTAATTCAAATTATTACTTAGGTCTTTTTTTTATAAAAAAACTTTTATATTCACATAGTAAACAAGGTTGAAATATGAAGAAATGATCATTTCTTTTGAAGTTTTTTGTGAAACTCCAAGATTTGACATGAAATTAATTTCCTATGAAATTGATTCATTCAATCAGAATCATTATTGATTAACTAACACAGGTCAAAAAACGATCTATCTCACACATATCGGGTACCTATATATCGGTGACTAATTAGGTACATATCGGGCATTTTTACATATTAACAAAATATCGGGTACCCGATTTGTCACATAATGCGCAAATTTCAAATATGGTTAAAAAAATGTAAATTACCAAGTGTCCGATATCCAAACTATTAGTCACCGATATTTGTACGATCTTTAAAAAAATTTGTGTGTTTATTTAATATTATCATAGTGCGGCCAGAGAATACCTAAACTTCAAACCCGTTATCAAAAGCATATACAAATTATTCAAATTACCGCGATTTTCTGAAATCCACTTATTGTAATTAAATTTCTCATAGCAAAAAAATAAATACGTTCCCCTTTTTTTCTTTGTAAACTATTACACTGAATTTGCAAAATGGCGTATAAGGTGTATTGTACTATTACCATATTAGGAATCTTTCCATATAGCCAGGATACCTGAAAAAAAATAAATTTTAAGGAGATATTTTTTTTACCCAAATCGTAATAAAATTGTAATACAAACTAATTCCATATAAATGACGGATTTTATTTCTCTAACATCTTTAGTTCGATCGTTACTGATAAGGGTGATTATTGGTATCTTTGATTCTAGCGATCACTTCTGATGGAAGTTTGATAACCGGAGGCGATCGATTCAGTCATATTGAATTTGGATCCTATCTTTCAATTTAATTAATCTTTAAAGAAATACGTAAGCCAAAATGCCTGCGCTGATCCCTGTCCTTTTGGAGTTTATAGGGTGACGATGAAGATCGGCTATTGCCCAAGTATACTCTTTATTGATTAATTTCTTTGAGAGACGTTTTCGTCGATGTGCTTTGTACGATAACAATGTTGCCTCTATAATTCCGGGCTGGATTAGAGGAAAAAGTCCTGATTGCACCTCACCCATTTTGTCGTCAGGCACAGTCTGAAACTTCCGTTTGTAAACTTTTATTTCCATACCAACTGCATGGGTTTAGGGTGTATTTTATTCCCTAACCCTTAGACCTACTTGTTAGGTTAGGTAGGTTGCATTGCACTCTGTAGCCTACCTTTTTAATGAGTTTTATGGCCACGTTTGCTCATTTAAAAATGAATTAAACAGGTTGCCATATCATTAAACACATCGCAGCCATTTGGTGATGAAGCTATAATTGTCTAATAAGGGTTCGCCCTGTCTGGCAATTTATGGTGGATTCAAATGGATCAAATTACAAACAATAATAATTTAGTCAAATGAGAATTCCAGGAAGGAACGAGGATGCTTTGTCTAATTGAAAATATTTTTTTTATTTTATTTTATTTTTTATATTTTTATTTTATTTTATTTTATTTTTTTATTTTTTATTTTTCTATTTGAGATTATTCATCGTATCCTATGTTTATTCATATCTGGTATTTTCGAATATACTTATCCTTATTATCATAGCGAGTTTTCTTAAAGCGTACCTGTGGCACCTCATCTGACTTGGGAAGTGTCGCTGAATCTAAAGCAAGGTACCCGGTTAATCCTCAACTTTGGGTTATGAGTTATGATTTAAGCATATAGTAATTTAATTTGACTTACATACCAAAAACAAAAATTTGTGTATATTTTCATTTTAATTTTTTTGAAAAAATAATATTATCGTATTTAGCTTATTAATCTAATTTATCGTATGTTAATATAGAAAATTTTATTAATCAGTTTTTGATATCTTATTAAATACCTTATCCGTAATTAAATTGTTACTGTAATAAAGTAATCAATACCGTAACTTGTTTATTAATAAAAAATAACCTGTAATCTATAGCTTTATCAAACCATGATATTTTTAATTTAATCAATCAATTTTTAAAAAAATTAAATGAAAATGTTTGAATTCTGATTTTTATTAAAGTCTGATTAGTATTTTTGACGATAAACCTATTTAGGCAAAAGTGTAATAATTGTAAAATTTATTTTTTTGATTTTTTATTTTTTGATTTAGATTTATTTTTCTTTTTTTTCCTTTTGTTGTTATTTTTGTTATTTACGACGTTATTATCAACATCATCATCGGCACCATTGTTGTCTTGAATGATGCTTTCATCAGTATCATAATCATAAACCGGGATATTTTTGGTTAAACGGTTGAATTTTTCAAGTGCTTCTCTATTCAAACACCAGCTTGGTGCGCCGGCAGGTGGCACACTAACTGTTTCTGTTTTGTCTAGAACTCTTTTACATTTTAAGTTTGGTGGTTTTTTCCTTAATAACTCTACCGTTGGATCAATACGATTATGTAATAAACGTTGAAGCTTAAATAAAGAAATTAAACTATAAATTAGTGTTTATACTTTGATAAAAAATAATAAAATATACATACAGCAGGAGATCTCCACCATCTTTCATAAATATATATCGAATTTTTTTTTGTGACTACTTCTTCTTCATCATTTTCATCATCTTCATCATCTTCGTCGGTTTCCTCCCATTCTTCGGAATGGTAGCCTGAATCTTTTAAAATTTGAACTAGATCCTTTTCAGGATATCGGCAAATGTACTTATCTTTGTTTTGTATTAGGTAATTGGCCGCGTTTGTTCTTCTTTTTTTTTTCTAACAATGTTAATTATAAAGCACAATATAATTAATTTAAAAAAAAAACTAAATTTAATAGCTTCTGTTAATTAAATAATTTACATCCTGCATCCTTGAATTCTTCATTGCTCTTCTTTTGTTACGTTTTATTTGGGCTTCCCCTTGCTTTCTAATATTACTAACGCGATGGCGAGATCGCCAACGTCCATATAACATCTTTAATAAATCACTATTTGAGACTTTATATTTTTTATTTACGAGTTTGTAAAGTGGTGGAAGCAACTTGGTGACTATGTTATCTTTTTGCTCAGCCCATGTGAGCTCATAGTTAATACTGTATACGTCTTTTAGCTCGGAGTCGCTCCAAATAAACACTTCTTTCTGTAAAATAATAGATAAATGTAAATAGGATAAAAGCAGAAATAATATATAAAATAATCAAATACTTGCTTTTATCGTGTTATAAGAACTTTTAGAAAAGGAAGAAGAAGAAGAGGAGGAGGAGGAGGAGGAGGAGGAGGAGGATGATTCATCACTAGATGATACATTATCACTATTCATTGTTACGAAGTATAAAATCTTTTTGTTATTTTGTAAAATAAAAAAATCCCGTATAAAGTAGAGATTTCAGAACGCGAGAAAAGTTGTTTGTGTGCAAATTTATAATGATTTCAGAGATTTCAGGATGCAGATCAAGGGCTCAGAGGTAGCAACGCGTTTGCGCAATTCTCACCAGGTAAAAGTAACGCGCTCATAAAATTCTTGTGCAATTCTTTTGTATGATAAGGATTATTAAAAGCTCATTTCTGAACGTCTTGATTACTAACTATTAAAAGTGATAGAATAAAAAATATATTTTATACATTTTAATAAAAATGAGTAATAAAAAATGTAACTCTGTATCTGAATTAATAAAGAGTAATAAAAAACATAAAGTTGAAACCTCTGAAACCTTTGTGGCTGATTTAATAAAGCCCAAAAAAAAGTATTTGTATATTTGCAATTGTGCTCGTTGCAAAGGTGCAGAAGTTGATTCTCGCACTCAAGAGAAACATACGTATGATGATAGTTTGTGGGAATCGAGATCAAAAGATTCTAGAAAAAATCAGGAAAATACCATCATGATAAGAAAGAAAAAAAAATCATCTGTTAATAATACATATATAAATACAGAAATAAAATTGAACATATCAAAAAAGCGAGAAAGAAATAATTACTCTGGTACATCTAGTTCAGATCAGGACTCTTTCCATCCTGGTCCCTCTTTCCAATATATTGAAGAAAATATAACATTATTTTTATCAAAACCTTCATGTTTTCGTATTCCAGCACCTACAATTGATGAAAATAATGATGAAATCAATTATTTTGGTGAGAATTATAATGTAGATAATATAAATGAGGGAGAAGAGAATGATGATGTAAATAATATGGATGAGGAAGAGAATGATGATGTGAATGAAGGAGAGGAGAATGATGATGTAGATAATATGGATGAGGAAGAGAATGATGATGTGGATGAAGGAGAGGAGAATGATGATGTAGAAGATTTTTTCGCATCTCCTAAGATTGACAATGACAATGAAGAAGCATTTATAGTGGAAAGCTTAAGTGATTCTATTAATACTGAGATTATAATATGGCTATTTAAATTTCAACAAAGATTTCGATTGCCTGATATTGCACTTGAATTCTTAATAAAATTTTTTCATATAATTCTTATGCGCTTTGATAAGTTGCAATTTGAAAATTTTCCTACCTCATTATATATGGCAAAAATATGGTTAAACATTTTTCAACCGAAAATGCAATTAGCTGCATGTACCGATTGCCATAAATTGCATAATGTTAAAGATATTATTGCATATAAGGAAGAAGGAAAAGTTGCTATAATGAATTGCCCGTATAAAGAGTATCCAAATAATCCAATATCAAGTCGTAATCACCAATGCAATAATCCACTTTCCATTCTCAAAAAAAATAAAAATGCAACAATTGAGGTACCTCACATGCTTTATCCTAAGCCAAACATTCATCAACAATTGAGCATTTTATATCAACGACCAGATTTTGAGAACATGTTAAAATTATCAGGGACTCAAAAAAACGAAAATAATATCTATTCAGATATTTACAATGGTAAGGTATGGAAAAATTTTCCATTTAATGGTAGTACCTTTTTTACAACAGAGACTGCCACAACCCATCTAGGTCTTCTCCTTAATCTTGATTGGTTCCAACCATTCTCCTACACGCAGCATAGTACTGGCGCTATTTATGCGTCTATTTGAAATCTTCCAAGGTCAGAAAGGAATAAGCCCAAAAATATTATATATTTGGGTTTCTTACCAGGACCAAAAGAGGCAGGGTTGGAACGCATTAATCATTATCTAGCTCCTATTGTAGNAAAATATTATATATTTGGGTTTCTTACCAGGACCAAAAGAGGCAGGGTTGGAACGCATTAATCATTATCTAGCTCCTATTGTAAATGAGTTATTAGAACTTTGGAAGGGGTGGAAAGTACCAAAAACTCACCAATTTTCCAATGGTTTAGAAATAAAAGTTGCGTTAATTGTTGGATCGTCTGATACTCCAGCTACACGAAAGTTATTTGGTCATGGATCTACAGTAATGAAATGCTATAGGTGTGATAAAAGTACCACTTATAGCGAGGAATTTAGAAAAACTCATTACGGAGAAATGCAAGACTATAATGAATGGGTAACAAAGCCTGCAGATCTTTTATTACATAGACAATATGCTCATGAATAGTTGCAATGTAACTCAAAGTCCTCCAGAGAAGCACATTTTAAAGTACATGGTATAAGATGGAATGAAGTGCTTCGCCTACCATACATGGATACTATACGATTTGCTGTAGTGGATCCTATGCATTGTCTTTTTCTCGGTGTTGCAAAATGGATAATCAAATCCATTTTTGTAAACCAAAAAAAATTAACTATGGAACAACTTCGTGTAGCACAAAAAAGAATGGATAATATTGATTTACCTTCTGACATTGGTAGAATTCCTCCAAAGATTGCAATCAGAAATGATGGGTTTTCTAACTTAACTGCTGATCAATAAAAGACCTTTATTATGATTTATTCTACATCTATATTATGGGATATGCTAGATGATAATGATAGAAAAATCTTAGGGCATTTTGTTAGAACTTGTAATCTTTTAGTAGCAAGATTTATTACAGATGATGATTTGAAGGAGGCGCAAGAGAGGTTAAAAGATATGGCCTACCTTATAGAATATACATATGGACCAGAATTTATAACAAGTAATATACATCTCGCACTTCATATCCCTGATTGCTGTCGTGATTATGGTCCTATATATAGTTTTTGACTTTTCCCATTTGAAAGACTTAATGGATATATAGGTAAATTTACTTCAGTGTCTTTCAATTGTCTTTAGTACCTTTATTAAAAAAATTCCTGTTATTTAGGATCATATCCTAATAGTAACCGACAAATAGAACCCGAATCAATAAAAATTGTTCTTAAAAACACCACTTTGGTGGATTATCACTTATAATGTAAATGGACATCTGGCCTTCTAGATGAATCTCTCCATCTTCTTGTACCAAAAAAAGCTGTAGGAAGTTTAGTAATAATAGCAGAAAGGGAGGAACTGCAGCATTTTCTATTTATGAGACATAATACGTCTATGATTTCCAAAATATATGGCACTGAACCATTACCTGGCCAAATGCTTAACCCATCATATATCAATGTCGTTATGCCTTTGGAGTTGCGAGAATTTCTATGTGAATGGTATGCAATATTATATGAAAGGGAAAAAGAAGATGTGTTAGGATTTATGGATTTGCATATGAAT